TCTGCATTTATCTATTTATTTTTATTATATCTCCCACGGTGAACTGACCCAGAAGGAAAAAATAATCTGGTTTTAGAACTATGTCATGTGACAGATCAATTTGCTGTAAGGGTACTAAGAAACCAAAGTTTAATTTAAAATGAATACATATACAGTGAAAAACTGGTGTGAGTTGAAAAGTTAGTTAGTAACATGTACACACAGATTTTAAAATTATGAATCTTGGTAATGGGCTGTTGGGAATGTAACATCTTACAGTTAAGATACAACTTGTAGTGATGAAAAAAAGCATGTTGCTTAAAAATGCATTGTACTGAACCTACAATTATATCTCATTGTGTTTTTCTGTCTTTTTGTGTCACATTTTGAGGAAGTGACTGAAACAATGTTAGTGAAATGTGATATAGAAACTCTCGTACATACTCCAAATATTGAATCTAAATGGACAAACAGTCTGACAGATGGTTGGTTTGATACCCTTAAAGCCATGAATGTGAGCTAGATGAATAATTAAGTCTATAGGAAAATATATGAAGCTAATGCCAAACAAAAGTAATACTTAATGCCATGCTAAGCACTAGGTGATCTGGTATTGGACAAATGGTTCATGTGGAAATAGTGGAAGGGGATGGTCCAGCATTGCTAAGTACCTTTACAAATATATATAGTACTTTTTTTTTAATTCTGCTGTTTCCCTGGGCCTTTTTTACAAATTGATACTTTTGTAAATTAGTATATATCTGATTTGTAAATGTTATGGGAATTAATAACCAATATATAAACATTTTTATGGAAAAAAAACAGCAGTTTGTGAGGCAATATGTAATAATTTGTATCTGACATACCAGAACTGCAAAATCTATGTAAGTTGTTATGCCAGCTCAAGATTTTTCAAGTTGGCCGCAAACATTTTAAACCTGACTTTCACACTAGTATACGTGTGAAGTCCCATTTTTTGATACAGAACAATGCTGTTTGAAACTTGGTTGATTATAGAAAGATTTTATCTGTTGGGATTACACTGTTTTCAGGTAAGTTTTATAATAAGTAGCAAGTAAAATGTATGAAGGCTTAGTTTTATTCAGCATGTTTAATCTGTGCAAGAAAAATTGGTTGGTGATTAACTTAAGATATTAAAGATCTTATCTCTTTTGAGCAATGGTTTCAGAAATTATTTTTCTTAATTTTGTGAAATGTATGTACAATGAAAAAAAAAAAAAAAAGTAATTAAGGTTAGACATATTTTTGCAATTCAATTTAAAAGAAATCTTAAAAGTCCAGAAGAATTTGTGTAAGAAGATATACCTTGGCACATTTTTGTTACCTCTGCAAGGTTATGTTTCACCTGTGTTTGTGAGCAAGATTTCTCGAAAATGGCTGAATGGATTTAGATGAAAATTGGTGTACATTTGAACTATGACTCAACTTGGAAATGATTAGTTTTTGGAGGGTCAGCAAAAAAAACAAACAAACCACATCTGTTAAGATGGAGATTGATTTTTTGTGTGCTATTTTTGCATTATAAGTCAGTCAAAATTGATTGTGTTTTGATGGAACTTGATGGATGGATGTAGAATATTATTCCTTTATCATGCTGAAAGTGGTCCATGTACATTGATAACAATGGACACATTTTAATATCTTTGTGAGGGCTGAATATCATCAACGCCATGTGGCGGAGGTATGTGCTCCACTAAGTGACCCTGTAGTCGTTTCATCAGTTTGTATGTAGTTTTAATCAAACTTTTAAAATTAATATTAGATACTGAAGTGATATTTTCAACTTTAATGACATTTTCGTCTCTACAAAAATACTCAACTGATAAGAAGGATACATCATCTGTAAGCTGTAGAAAACTGCTGAAATAATTTTAAAGAAAGCAATAGATGTTAAGTTTTCACCAAACTGCTACTTGTACTTTATAGCTTCTTTCTGCTGTTTCAACATCTTTTTGAGGATTAAACCAATGTTTCTTAATTGACTTCTACTTCCACCTTGACTGATAACAGTATGTCTGATGTTTCTGTTTTTGAATTAGTTTCTTTAAAAGTTTCAAGGATGTAAAAATAATCCCAAATGCTTGTTTATACTTTATCAAAAGAAACTGGAAGGTTTAATGCATAGAATGAAAACAAATATATTCTAGAATATGTATAGCTAACATAGATAATGAAGCCTGGTTACAGTTAGGATACTGTTTTAGTTGGTGTATAACCATTTTTTTGAAAGACTTGCAATTTTAAAATATATATACTATCTCACTGCTCATATGGACTCACCTTTAGTTAAAACAGTGCTGACAATTGATTGAAGGTATTGTATATTGTTGGTTTACTAGTTCAGTGACATCATTAGGAATAACACAGTGGCTAACTGATACTTCAGTTTTTAAGCTGTACTAAATTAAAACAGATTTTTCTTATATGATTTGGTTTAATATTTTTTTTTTATAAAATTGGATCTCTAACAGTGTAAAGCATCCTTTATATTTGAAAAGAGAAAATTAATACAGTTTCATGCCTCTAAGACAAATAGAAATTATTAAAATTGGCCCAACTAAGACAGAAGTGAACTTTGGATTAGGTTGTCAACATATTGTGTTTAAAATTGTGCTAATTAACCCAAAACAAGATGGATTTAGGAAATAATTCATGATGTCTAGGAACCCACTTGAAGTAAATATATGGTAGAGACTGCTAATATGGGTATTAAAAACATTTATTTGAAACACAAATCAAGTACCAACCTTTCAACCTGCTTAGGTCATAAAAACATGACTTCCCAGTGCAGTGTGTAAAGTTTTTTTTTGGCAGTTTTATTTACAGGACTAAAAAACTAGTACAAAAATCTTTCTGATAAATTAGTGAATCATAAATGTAATTATGCATTAGGATTTTATTTAATGATATATGAAAATATGCAAGTTACAAATTTAAAAAAACTTAGGAAAGCTTAAAGAACAAGAACACTGTTGTATTGAGGTTTAAGCTTATTGTCAAGAATTTGAAAACTGTATAGAATAAATATTTTGGCTATGTTCAGTATAAAATATTGGGCCTTAATTGTCTTGAACACAAAAATGATTTTGCTGCTTTTTTTTTCTGCCATAAGTTAATGTATCTATTAATATTTGTATAATTATTTACTCGTTATACTTCCTGTATGTTTTAGAAAATCTTAATATAAGCTGGAGGGTTTATTCCCACATTTTGTTAATATAATTATAAAGAATTTGTTGAGAATCTAACCTCTGTGATGAAGATTATGCTATCCAAATAAAATAAGAGCATTGGTTATGTGATGTTCAGTGGGCACCAAATGCTTACATTAAACACAGCTTCAGAGGATATATACTGGTTGACAAACTACTTCAAATAGTTTGTCAATGCAATCTAAAGAATTCAGTGTTGTTATATTTAGTTGAAATAACTGGTAGTCTTTTTTCAATTTTAACACTATTTTCTGCAAAATATATAAAGAAAGTGGGGAAGAAAGTTTACTTATTTACTGACATTACAAATCGCAAGGTTAGCTAAATCAAATCAAATAATGCATGTTTAGATTTGCATACAAACAAGTCTAATTACGTAGTCTAATAGTTTTTTTAAATAATGTAGCAGACATTTCCTGTGGCTATCTTTTGAACTTCAGTTCATCTCCAGGTTTGAAATTGAAATTTACTGCAAAGCTCATACTTAAATAGGTTCTCTCATATTATTCTTGATTACCTATTTAACTGTCATTGATAATGCTTAATTAAGTTTTACTGTACCTATCTTATGATCATGGCAGAATTCTCAGTTACAATATGGGAATTGTGTTCCAGACAAAATGAATATAGTATATCATGTGAAGACATGGCACTGATTTTAATTTATAATTGTAAAGTAAACTTTATGCCATCAGTATTGGTTGTTATGGTTATATGTCCACTGGTTTTACATGTATATGTTACAGCATATCAGTTAGGTAACATTTTTTAACGTGGTTATGAATTTAGTTAATAATTTAGAATTTATGCATATGCAATTTTATTTTTCCTTTTTGAATTCATCTTTTTGCTACATTAATGTGCAATTTCAGTAATTTTCATGACCAAAACTGTGAAGTAAGGTTAAGGTAGGATAGATGAAAGCACTGAAACAACTATTTCCCATTAAATGTGATCATTCAAGCATTTGTATTCGTGAAAAACTGATATGAAATGAAGATGTTCTTCTCCAAGTTGTATGAGTGTTTTAAAAATATTTCATTGAAAATTGGAAGAGAAAGGTAAATTTTTGATTTGTTTACTGTACTTTAAATACTTTTTGTTGTAAAGTGGTGTTCAAAGTAAAGATGTTGGAAACTGCCAACGTTCAGTTTTTTTCACTTGCTGCCATTCTTATACTTTGTATATCAAATACATTTTATACAAGTTTTACATTATTAAAACCTCATCTCAGTCCTTGTTTATCAGTGTTGTGCAATTTAGTAAAATTCTGTATATTTAATGCTATGGAATTAGCATCTGTAGTTGGAATTCTATTTAAATGATTCATTTTCAGATTTGCTTATTGTTAATGTTACAAAAAATTTCATGCTTTATTACAGCCACATTTTAATATCTTACTTTTTTTTTCACAGTATGGCAATATTGTCTGGAATAACTAGTGAATGAACATTTGAAGTATTTTATAAAACATCCTGCATAGTGTTAACATAATTGATTGTTTTAGACTATAGTCTTCAGGCAAGTATATCCATATAGCTCGTTGTTGTTTCAGTAAAACAATTTTTAATGTTAGCTTTCTGAACAAGAAACTGTTCTTTGTCTTGAACAGTATAAAAACAGGTTGGTAATTTAAGGGTTAAGCTGTTTGTGAAGTACTTGTAAATTTTTAATTGTACTTTTCACAAAAATATAGAAGAGAATTTACAAAAAAAATTACTGTATGTAGCAGGAAGTAATTTTCTTTATTGTGGCAATGTATTCATACAGTTTTTCTTTTATATATAGGTATACTTGTAGTAGCCGCTGATGATGGTGAATCACCTGGTCATCTGAATGTGGTTGTTGAAAAGTTAGGGGAATATCTCAGAAGCGTAGGATATTAGGTAAGTTGTACAGTTTTGTGAGATTCGGTACATAACGTAGAAAATTATGGAAGTGTTGTGTATAAGTAATTTGCATGTTATTTTTTTTCGACATGTAAAAACTTGGAAATGTTGGAGATTTCTGGTGTTTACATATTTCTAGAGAAAGAAATATCACAGAAATGTGTGTAATTTATAAATATGTTTCCCTTAGTTTTGTATTCTTTTGCCTTTTAGAAGTTGAGTTATATTCATAGTAATTCTTACATGGCTGAAAGGATGTTTTAGAACACAAGAGACAACAGAAGATTAGTAAATATACTGTTATTCATGGCAATCGAAGGTGAATACTACATAATTTACAGTATTGGCTCATTTATATACAACATGTGACACTACCTCTATAAGCCTTAGGCAGTTGGATACAATACACTACATAATAAGGTAGCCACAGTGAGTGAAATGTGATTGAAACACCAAATGTTTAGTAATTACTAGTCACATTGTTTTAATATTTGCTACTCCCACAGATACTGTGTTTATTATTATACTGAAACATTATCTCAAACTAAAGATTTGAGTGTAAGTATTAAAAGTGTATATTTTTGTTAATGAGGTTCATTAAAAAAATATGCACATGATGACACTAGCAAAGAACTGAACTTCTTTCAAAAATGAGCCCTTCCCCCAATGGAATAACGTTATGTCTGTGGACTTAAACGTTACAAACCAGGTTTCAATACTCATGGTGGGTAGAGCACAGATAGCCCATTGTGTAGCTTTGTGCTTAACTACAAAAAAGAAAAGTTTACTACTTTAATACATATTTTAAAGAAGCTATAAATTTAGTCATCAGTGACATGAACTACTAAATTATTTGGCAAATAAAACTGAAAGTTATTGTAATTGAATGTAATATGAACAACACTACTGCACTATCACTTAACCCTACCGAGACAGGTCTTCCTATGGTTTTGGGTCAAATACCATGCATGTCCTCAAGTTTGTAGACTCGCATTAAAAATTTTAATGAACTACTATTTTATGAATATATGTCAATACGTTTGTTATCAAATTGTAGATTATAATTCAAATTTTATTATTATACATTAGTTAATTTCTTAATTTAAAAGTAAATATTAAAAAAAATCCTAAATATCAATTTTGTGTCACATGGTATGTTGAATGCAGCATTGGTTCAAATTAGAAGTTTGTGGTGTTTAAATACAAAGTCTATAGTATCTTTCAAATTAGATACTCAAATTACCAATACTGACAAGCTAGAATATAAGATAAGAAACTCCTATCTTTTCTATTTTC